TTAGTTCCTCAAAGGGGGCGAGGATGGCAACAGTCGTCTCCATAAGAGCCCATAAGATAAAAATAATAATTATGTTACCTAATGTAAGTTTATCATGTTAAAAAGATTAACAGAGACATCCTGTTCTTATGTAAAGTGGCAGGTTTGACCAAAATGGTGCAAAAAGAAAGATTTTCCTCTGAAAAATGTTCTTGTTCTAAGAAATGAAGAAATTACTGAGGAAAAAAACAAAAAGAAACCAAAACTGATTTGACACAGCTGAGTGTGTTACTGCACCAAAAGACAAAAACAGAGAGAGACTCCAAGTGTTTGTATAAAAAGTTGTTGCAGTTTTATTTGGCCTAAAAATATTAATGAGTCATTGCTTCATGACAAAGTTTATATCTCTTTCTACCCTCCAGGGTTCAAACTTCCACATCTCCAGGCGAGAGCGTCACGGAAACGTGTTTAAGACACACCTCCTGGGGAAGCCGGTCATCAGGGTGACGGGTGCAGAAAACATCCGCAAGATCCTGCTGGGGGAGCACAGCCTGGTGTGCACCCAGTGGCCTCAGAGCACACGCATCATCCTGGGACCCAACACCCTGGTCAACTCCATCGGAGACCTCCACAAGAGGAAGCGAAAAGTAAGAAGGTGTAGCAGGAAGTTGAACTGATGTTTGGATTCACAAACTGTTCCGCTCCGGGTTTCACTAAAAGGTGCAGAAGCTGTGAACTTTTCACGACCCCTTTCTCTCCATTTCCTTATCTCTTTCAAGATTCTGGCCAAAGTGTTTAGCCGGAGTGCTCTGGAGTCCTACCTGCCCCGGCTTCAGGACGTCATCAAATCTGAAATCGCCAAGTGGTGCTCAGAGCCGGGCGCCATCGACGTGTACAGCGCAGCCAAGTCCCTGACGTTCCGCATCGCGGTCAGGGTCCTGTTGGGTCTGAAGCTGGAGGAGGAACGGATCGTTTACCTGGCGAAGATCTTCGAGCAGCTGATGAACAACCTCTTCTCTCTGCCAATAGATGCCCCGCTCAGTGGGTTACGCAAGGTGGGGGAGCTTAAAGACATTATGTGTAATCTACATGGATAACGTGGCATTAAAAGCCGATTAATGTCATTCATGTTGGCTTTTACAT